AAAATCTTGGTCTTGCATAGGAAAATGTGAAGAGAAAAGGAATAAATTGGGTATGTAGAGGAATATTAGTAGTTTATTAGTACTTACAGAGTGATGGTGATGACCAGAATTTACTGACCCATTGCGCATATATGGGGAGCTGAGTGCCTGGAATATAAATTAAAAATATATATAAAAATAGCCACAATAAACTTACAAAACAATTTAATTTAATTCATAATATAGTAAACTTGTTTTTTTTTATCAAATGAAATCTACAATGTAGCAAACAAAAAGAACTTAATTTAGAATAAATAAAAATGTCTAGTTGACTAACGGTTAGACAACAATATTTCTTATAGCAGAATACATACTTATACTATGGGTATGTTTGGTAAGCCAAATAAGGTAGCTTATAGCTTATTTGATTAGCTTATAAGCTCCCTGTTTAAAATAAGTCTCGTTTGGTATGACGGGCTTTTTTTAAAAGCTCAAGCTTATTTCATAAGCTACTTTAGGTAGCTTTTCAAATAAGCTAGTTGAATTTTTTATTTCAGCTAGCTTATCAGCTAATTTACCAAACACTTTTTATCATATAAGCTAGCTTTTCAGCTATAAGTCATAAGCTATAAGCTATAAGCTCAAAAATTACATATAAGCTATAAGCTAGCTTATCAGCTATCAGCTAGCTTATCAGCTAGTTTTACCAAACATAGCCTATAAAAAATCGTACTTTAAAATATTAAATTTAATTATACCTAGTGAAAAATAAAATACTCCTTATAATTAATCACTTAAAAAATTGTACCCATGTATTTATATGGAGTAGTACTATAACACAAATATTGCATATGGGAATTTAATCTGTTGGATATGTAGTACATAATTTAATGAGGAGGATATATTTAATGAGAGATTCTACGGTCCAATTACGGAACAGCCCGTCGATATTTGTAACCGTTACATCAACTATCCACGACGGTTACATAATAATCTAACGATTACAAATCCCGACGGAATGATTTCAAATGAAAAAAGAAAAGAGTGATAAAAAAAGGAGCAAAATTTTTTTACCTCAATTTGGCCCTGAAGGAATCTAATGTAGCCAATGGCTTCTGACAAGACAGAGGCAGTGTCAGTCTGCAAAAGAGGGACATTATATGCACAAAGTCATTTTTTTGTGAAGCTTTTTTTTCCTTTAATTATCAAAAGACAAGCATTCATGGGCTATCTAATTGTACACAACTAATGAAGATATAAAAAGGGCACAACAATGATATTATTGTTTTTGTTTAATTAATTTTATTCACTAATTTTCTCTTCACACTAATTAAGTGAATAAGCAAAAGAATGTAAATAAGTTTATTTATTTTTATTTTTTTTTCCTTAATGGGTTTTGTGCTAAAAAAATGATAATACTTCTGCATAAATGATTCTTTGTGTTTGGTAAATGATTGGGATCAAAGGGTGGATTAATGGTATAATTTGGTTAATTAGCAAATTAATTAATTAATTAATTAATGTACCTTTCCAAATGGGGAAACAAGTTGGTGAAGTGCTGTTATTCTATCCCCCAACTTCTCCTTTCTCACCTGCACATCAAAAGTTACTTAAGGTTAATTGGTAAAAATCAAATTGTATGTCCTCAAATAATTTATATGTGCAAAACAAAATTAATGAATATATTTTGATTTTATTAGATTTATTGATTGTTTTTTAAATAATAATAATAATAATTACCTTAAGAGCTGGTTGGGCTGAAGAATGTTGAACCCTAGCCTTCTTTGATACCCCACCAGTGCTTGTGCTGTTGCACTTTTTAACAGAGGAATATTGAAATAAAAGAGTAGAAAATTCAATTGCATCTGTTAATTTTCTCAAGGAATTAAATTAACAAACATTTACCAAAAAATATAAAATAAAAAAAAATCAAATTAATTACTAGTTAATTCAATTGGAAATTAATAATTGTTGAGTCTTAGGCATGCCAACAAGAAAATCACTTCACTTAATTATACAATTTCTCATGCAATAATTATGAGTCTTTGGACATTCAAATTTCATCCTAAGAAATCATAGCCTTGTCTTTTCTAATCTTCCCCACCTTACATTTTTTTTTTATTTTCTTCAAAAATAAAATAAAATTCTATTTTTTATTTATTTTTATCCCTTTACCTCAATACCATTTCCTTCAACAATGACTAAAATTTGTTCAAAAAAAAAAAAATTAAATAAATAAATAAATAAAACTGAAATGATATATCAAAAGGAAAAAAAAAACTTATCATTTTTCGGAGCGTAAGTAACCAAATTAAATTACCTCGGACGAATGTTCTTGATTGTGTTGACGGTTTTTAGCTTCAGCAGCCGCGTTACACGAGAAATTCAAGAAGTTGTTGTTGCTCAAAGTTGTGACACATGAAGTTGGAGAAGAAACTGGCAAGACTTGGTGATGATGATGAGGCCAATTAGATCTATTTGGGTGATTATTATGAAATTGATCATTGTCAATATGATTATTGATATGATGATCATTATAAAGTTGGCAGCTGCTGCTAGACTCTTGCTTCACATGATCCACAACCCCATTAATAATATCATTATCATTATTATTATTATTATCATTATTATTGTTGTTGTTATTATTTCTCGCGAAATTCGAAAACGAGTTCAGATTCAAGACTTGTTGGCCGTCGACTTCCCAATTTTCGACCTTCTTCTGCTGCTCGAAGAGACCAGCGCTGAAACGTTCTTCTTCACCACTGGCAAATCCACCCCTAAAAAAAAAAAGGGAAAATTAAAAGAAAATTTAAATTTTGTTGGACTTGACTTAAGGAATTAATATATCTTTGTACTATATATAATCTGAGAATCTATTTTGTTTATTTAGTTTTTTTCTTTTATATATATGATTTCTTAAGAACAACTATATATATATATGCTAACAACAAAAGGCATCATGAATTGAGCAAGATAAAAAGAAAGCAAAAGAAAAATGAAGTGTGAAATATAGCTAAAGCAACTTTTTTATTTTTTTCAGAATATATGACATGAGGAAAAGAAAATAAGTATAATAGTTGGGACAACGAAGCTTGGCTTAATTGGTGGTAAAACGCTTCTCCTATAACCGATAGGTCACGGGTTCGAGTCACCGAGAAAGACAAGTGAGAACACTCTTGATTCTCCTTTTTCAGAAAGAAAAAACAAAATAAAATAAAAAAAAACTACAGTGATTGGGAAAAACTTACAGAAGCAGCTGGCTCAAAGACCTAACCGGAAAATCTTGTGGATGATCGGTTGAATTAATATTATTAGAGGCGTAAACGAGCTGAGGATTCAAAAGCTGCTGGTGATGAGATTGTGGATGCATGCTGCCATTCATGCTCCAGAAGTAATTAGGGTTTCCAGCCATCATTTATCACTCACCCACCAAAAAAAAA